ATACTATACTGTACTATACTATACTAGAAAAATATATATAAATCGTTGAACAAACATCCTTCTTCTGGAATTCAGAAATTGTTTAAATAAAGTGTTTAATTCTGTCTCTTTTTTTGTAATGTTGTAAATTTACCAAAATAAATCTAATCTGAATCTGTATTTTCTCTTCAGCAGCCAGTCATCTCTGGTAATCCAAGCAGACCTCGTAAGTTTTACCCTAAATTTAGAAAAAAAATTATTAATGCATGGAAGTCAGCAGTTTGAATATGACTTTTGTATGTCATAAAAAAATTAAACCCAAATATTTTGATTTCAGGGCACAAGAGGGGTGCATTTTCAAATGAATTAGACTCTTTTTTAAATGGCATGTCTTCTAATAAGGACAACATCAACAAGCTACTACATGTGAGATAACTGTTTAATTTCAGTCCAGTTCTTTAAATTTCAGTTTAAATAACTCAGCTGTACATAAAAAAGTAGAAATATGCTATTCTTACAATTAGAATATGTACTTTTTCTTTGATGTAGTTTGCAGACAGAGTATTGTGGGCAATGGAGAGGGAACCAGGGGAACCAATAAACAACAGAAGAGTAAGCGTCTCTGTTTCTGCACATTCCTGGTTTTCATCTTCTGGTAAACAAACTCTTGTTTTTCTCCTCACAGGATAAGTTTATCGAGGCGTTGTTGAACGGTACAAAATTCTTGTCTAAAACTAAAGTTTCAGAAAACGACAGCGTTGTCGCTGACATCATCAGCTGCAGCACTGCCATGATGCGTCTGGCACTGAAGAAATGTGACTCTGCTCAGAACCCAAATCCTGTAGTGAGTTTTTGTTCCTCCACTGCCAAACACATTCATGTCTCTGTAAAAAAAAGTCAAACATTTACTGTTCTCTTTCCTCCGCAGTCTTTGTTTGAGAGCTTATTTGAGATCATTCGTCTGGCTTCTCTGCTGACTGGTTTAGAAATTAATCAGACGTATATAACCAAGACCCCAATAAGCACCCTCTATATGATAACGTAGGTATAAGTGACTTCAGTTATTTGACGTGATCGTGTATTTTTAGGCAAACTTTTAATTCTCTACTCCTCCATCAGGCTCAAACCTGATAAGCTCAGCAACGCAGTGGTGGGCTCAGTAGACGATGGGGGGTTTGTGAAGCTCCCACCCTATTCTGCTCTGCAATCAAAAGTCAGCGGTTATACATCGGTCACGGCACAGGTCCGAGTGAACTATAAATATGTGTTTGTGTCTCGTTTGCATCCTTCCTGAAAAGAGCTTCTTGTATTCCCAGGTGGCGACGTTCCCCAGTAATCCCCACCCTTCTGARGACAACATCACAGGAAATGTTTGCAACGTTGTACTCAGCGARGGACCCGCAGAGATCAATCTGCAAAACCTGTCCCGGCCGATCGAGGTACGCCTGTAAACATTTTTGTGGGCCTGTTTCATGCAGCTAAATGAACATCACAAATTCTTCAGATTCTGTTCTGGACATCACTGCATGTGCTCAGGAACACTTCCACAAATCGTTGCCATGTTTAAACAGCGAAACACTTCTCTGTGTCATTTAAAGGAGGCATATCCTGCAAAAAAAAAACACTTTTTAAGCTGTTAAATAGATTTTTATTGTGTACTAGGAGCGRAGAAAAGTTTATTTTAGTCTCTCTAGGTGGTGCAAAGATATCTTTATATATATTCTGTTTGGGTTAAAATTTTCAGCCCTTTCAGTTTTCTCTTTTTTCTATGACGTTTTCGGCGTTCTTACATCGAAGGTCTGGACTTACCAACTACYATTTCCTCATTTTCATTCTCCTCTGGTTCTTGGTCAGATTCTGGCTCCAACTGGCTGGATGGACAAGTCTTCTGTTGCTGACATCGTTTAATTAAATTATAAATAAAACATTTCTGCAAGCTCAAGGAGTAGACCGGTCTGGAAGCAGGAGGGGGGCGGGGCTTGAAGTGCCTTAAAGGAACAGTATGAACCACAAGTATGAACAGTATTGAGGCACGCACCAGAAAAGAGGTGAAAGAGGGGCTGGTAAAGTTAAAATAAGAAGAAATTCAGACCAAATCATCATAGTTCCACTTTATAAAGACCCCAAATGAATTATTTAAATTTGAAAAGGAAGGATTTAAAAGCAGGATATGTCTATAATATGGACCGAGGCAAAGTGAAAATCTGGACACCACATTCTCTGAACTAAAAATTAGAYCTACCATACCAAATGTTTTTAAGGTCTGCCTCTCTGATGGTATGGAAGTGCATTAGTGCCTCAGGCATGGGCAGCTRATACAGCTGGAAATTTAATGCAGAAAAATATATACAGGCTTTAGAATGACACAGGCTCCCATCTAGACTATGATTTTTTTCATATTTCATATTTTTGTAAAACCATCTTTCATGTGTCAAGGAGGGCACCCCATTGAGCCCCACCAATTATATTTTATGTCAGTGGTAAATGTTAAATTTATAATTAAATGCAACAAAATAACAAATTTAAAAGGTAAAAGGGGATAATGTTTGTCCTGCTCCTGAGCTGTTGTTGGATAGTACACAGCAAAAATGCCAGTGTTAATTTAACACCCACAGTGTTAATTTCAACACCAACAAAGTGTCTATATGTGTCCACATTTGCTGGTGTTAAAATAACATTTGTGAAAGTGTTAAATTTTATCACCCATTTATTGGTTAATTTAACACCAACCAGTGTTTAATATTCAAGAATATTGGGTGTGACATTGATATTTCAACAGTGTTAAAATTATATATTAACACAGTCCAGTGTTGASACAACACTGAGGAAATCAACACTGTGAATCAACACCAACACTGGGTGTCAGTTTACTCAGAAAGTGTTAAAATAACACTAGGTTTTTTAAAACAACACCCAAAAGTTAACACTGAAATTTTAACACTCCTGTTTTTAWTGTGTACAGTATTAAATAAGCTGCTTTAAAGCCAGCACTGACCATAAACTACATCTCTCATAATGCATGTCGATTAGTACTTTTCAGTGTTTATAAAAAGACGTGTTAAAACGCTGTTTCTATGCAYGAAACACCACGTAGAGCTCAGTTATTGTTTGTTTGTGGTTCTCAGTTGTAGCAATGAGACAAGGAGCATTTTTAGTCAAAGCTAAACATTAAACATCAAATTTTATTTACAAATGGCCCTTTGAGGGCCACCATAACAATAATAATTATTATTATTATAATAATTATAATGCTTATAATGCTGCTTAGGCTGCTGCCCCTGTGACCCGACCCCGGATAAGCGGAAGAAAACGGACGAATAATAATTAGAATATAATAATTATAATCATTATAATTTATTATTTTACACAATTTTCCAATATTTTCTGAACTGGTCTTGTAATCAAATTTACGTATTTTTTTTAAATTACCATTGTCATTTTGTAGCTGTCCCATAAACAAACATCATCTTGGGTATTTTTGTCCTGACACCACTCTTGCTATCTTTGGTTTTCTCAGATATTTCTGAGTCGTCCACAGGGTGCGGTGCTGATAAACAGCACTATTGAACTGACCAAAGACACCAAATCAGTTTCTTCATTTAATGTCTCGGACCCTGAGATGACCCTCTTCTTCAGCATAGAACCCAGCGTCAACGTCTCGCTGGTTCTTAGATTGTCTCTWGGGTCACCCCCAAACTCCACGCACTACAGCAACACAACCACCTTGAGCTACACAGGTAACACCTGCACTGTTCAAATAGAGCTTCTCTTGTTCCTTTGTTGTTGGGTTTAGTCTACAGATAAATATTTTTTGGTTTTCAGGAGGCTACCGCTGGATGATAACCCCAGAGATGTTTCAGCAGACGTCAGGGGCTTGGTATGTCGATGCTAGACTCGTAAACTACTCTTTGACAACGAGCGTGTCGCTGACGATTACCAGCTTCATGAGCAAGTGTCTGTACTGGGACACAACGACGAATCAATGGAGAACTGCTGGTTGCACGGTGGGTGGAATAAAGCATTTTGCATTTCTTCCGTAGCGAACCACGTGGTGACGTGTGTATTTGTCTCAGGTGGGAGATCAAAGCACTCCAGAGCTTACGCAGTGCCTGTGCACCCACCTCACCCTCTTCGGGAGCTCCTTCTTTGTGATGCCCAACTACGTCGARATATCTAAAACAGCCGAGCTCTTCGCCACCGTTAATGAGAACTACGTGGTGCTGGCCCTGCTGTGTGTTTTTTACGGGCTTTACCTGGCCACGCTGATGTGGGCCTGCTACGCTGACCGCCGGGCGAGCTCTAAGGTCAGACGTCTTCGTTATTTACCGTCTTATTGTAATTAAAGCGTCGAGGAATTCACAGCAAAATGTAAGAGAGATGATAATTGCTGGGAACATATTTGAATTCACACATTGCTTTATGGTTTCTTATCAGAGGAAGATAACTCTGCTGGAGGACAATCACCCAGGAGCTCAATACAACTACTTGATTGGTGTCCAAACAAGTCATCGCAAAAATGCAGGAACTTCTGCCAATGTAAGGGTTTCCTTTCAACTGACAGGTTTATGGTTTCWTTTATTTTATTATTGACAGGTTAGAGTTTTTTATATCCTGCTTTTAACAGCCCTTTTATTCCTGTTTGTAAAAACGTTGGAACCACTTTACGATAAGGCTCCCCTTATAGATGGCTRATAATTAGGTTATTAATTCATCTATAAACACTTTATAAATCATTAATAAGTGTTGAGTCAAAGAGYCAAACTGTCCGGTTTCTTGCCAAACAGTGAGCCAACTCTGTTCATGTACATCTAAAGTATATTAAAGCTATATTAAARATTTCAGACTAGGTTACTACCTCGTAAGCACAATAATGATTTGGAAACATGTACTTTAAATAAAGTATTGTAATTTATTACTGCATTATACATATACACAATTTTCAAAGGGAGCCTCATTGTAAAGTGTAAAACAGTTCAATTTATAAGGCTCCCTTATGACATTTATACATGTTTATTAGTCATTAATAAATAGCGTACCTACTGTCTTACACTTTACGATAGGACWCCATTTGAAAATACTGAAACTGACAAACATTAAGGCTTTTCAAGAAATAAATTCTCAGTTTAAATTATATACTATTTGGGGAAGCAATGAACTGAATGAGTGGAACGGGCATTAATTCAGCCCAATCAAAATATCCTTTCCCTTTTCAATAAGAAACTGGAGCAAGAGTTCTTAAATTTAGCACAAAAAAACCTGTTTGATTATTTCTTTCTAGTGACAGTGCTTTGTGYCAATAAATCTTATAAACCTGGAAAGTGTGTTTATGTCCCTTTAAATGGTGCCACATTTGTTAGGAAAATAAATTTGTGAGTTGCAAAGCAGAGTTAATTAATTTCATGGGTTGAACCCATGAAAAACTCAGCAAATCTTCTCTGCCAGTGCCAAACAGCTTATTCTGGGATTATCTTGTTTAGTGTTGCCTACTGGATTAGATCAGTGGTTCCCAAAGTTGTGGTCGGCACCCCTCTGTGGGTCATGACGTACCAAGTGAGGGTCCCCATGATGATTTCCAGACACAAATCTAAATGCATATAAGTTGTTGATGGAATATTTTCATCTTAATTGTTGCAAAAAACAAAACAAAAAACACCTATAATAATAAAAAATGAATAAAATAGTTGTAGGTTTGCTTATATTGTTATTTGCTAGTTATTAGCAAAGTTAACATAAACCAGTCATACCTGGGGTCACAAGTTTCTGCAGCTGTTATTTTAGATGGATTAGATGATTGAAGCCTAAAAAAAAACAAGACATTTGGTAATTAATTAATGCAACAAACAGAAACCTCAGTATGTGGAAGAACCATACATGTATGCAGCTAGCTTGGTCACCCACTGCTGTGGGGCGGCATCCTMTTCTTTAACTTCACAAGGCAGCCAATGTGAAAGTGAAAAAGCAAAATATACAGACTTCCAAAGTGTATAAGATTTAGAAACACTGACACATCAAAGGAAATTTTAACCAAATACAAATTTTCTTGCTTTTTGTCTTGTTTATACAGAGTTAAAACTTTCTGGATTCATTTACAAATTAATGAKAAACAAACCAGATTCCAAATTAAACTTGTGTTGCTCTGTTGAATATGGTGAGTTCTTGTTTTGCTGGTTTAAATTTCAAAGCTCTCACTGYGAACATCATTCAGCAACTTATTAGGAACAATCACAAAATTAAACAAAAAGATTTAAAAGTTTAAAATGGGGATTTCATTTGCAAAGATCAGCATTACCAAAAAACGTATATTAAAATGTAATAATGTGCAGGACTAATAAATCATGTTGTTTTTTTAAAATAAATTTTAAACATGCACTTTGACATGCATGATCTCTGGCATCGAATCAGGGTTGCTGCCGCACCCTCTGTTTCCCTACTTCTTGCTGTGTAATTGTTATCCTGTGCCATCCTACAGGTCACCATGAAGCTGGTCGGTGCAGATGGAGAGAGCACCATACATACTCTCACTGATCCCAACAAACCCGTGTTTGAGAGAGGATCCTTCGATATGTTCCTCTTGGCCACGCCCTTCCCTCTTGGCGACATGCGGACTGTTCGCCTGCAGCACGACAACTCAGGCGGGAACCCTTCATGGTAAAAAAAAATGAAAGAAAAACTGGAGACCTTTGAGGTAAAAATTTTATTCTTTTACAAATGAACTTTCCCCTCAAAAAGGTACGTCAGCAAAATTGTCGTGCAAGATCTTCAGAGTCGGAACGTCTGGCACTTCTTCTGTAACTGCTGGCTGAGCGCCGACCGAGGAGACGGCACGACCAAGAAGACCTTCAACGCTGCAAAGACCAACGAGATCGCCAGCTTCAGGTCAGAATTCTTCACTCTGATAAAAGAAAAACCCAAACCTTTTAGCTTTTTTTTACAGCTCTGTGTTAAATGATCGTTGCTTTTCTCTCAGGAACATTTTCCAAAGCCGAACGTCGACTGGTTTCAGGGACGAACACATCTGGGTATCCATCGTGGATCCTCCCTCTCGGAGCCCCTTCACACGGGCTCAGAGGGTCTCCTGCTGCATGTGCCTGCTCCTCTGCACCATGGCTATCAACATRGCTTTCTGGAACATTCCTGCGGATGCGAGCTCACCTGTGCTCTTCTCATTAGGTGACTGCGGAGTGAARGTCTTTCAACGACCTGGAGCTGCTTTTCATTGATGACGTTTGTTTCTGTCCAGGCTCAATTCAGATCAGTTGGCAAGACATAATGGTGGGGGTTCAGTGTGGTCTCCTCATGTTCCCAATCAACATCCTCATCATCACCATCTTCAGAAAAATACGACCTCGAGTGGTTTCCAATTCCAAAAAAGACGACCCMGAGGAAATGGTCAAACCGGCTGCAGTCACCTTGCCAACTGTTCTGAAGGTGGGCTTTTATTATTTTCACTTTTTATATTAGTTAAAAGCTTCTTATCTTTATTTTTAATTTGATTATATTTTTCTTTTCTTGTAGGAAACAGAGGCAGTGATTTCTTTGCTGAGCATGAATCCAAAAAATGCAATGTTAGAGATGTCCACGCTAGAGTCTTCTTCTGACCTCCTCCCTGCTTTGGACAGAATCCACATCTTCATCCAACTAATGCAAGGTCTGAGGACTCTCAGCTACTACCACACATCTTTTTAATTCAGTATCTGTAAAAACTGACTGAGTTATGAGTTTTTGTAATGTTGATTAACTGTTAGTTTGGTTCATCTCCAAAGAGTAATCATTTTTATAGGTTTGTTAAAATTCCTTCACTGTTACATGTAATATTTTGCTAACAGACAGACAAAGTTGCGGAAGCCGAGAGCAGATGTTTTACATAAATAATTTTTTCCATGGTTTTATGTCATTATCAGGAAGTAACAATGAGAGTTTTCCCGAGATAACGAGTTAAATATGTTGCTATCATAAAAAAACGATGAGCAATTTCTCAAGATCATGAGTTAAATATGACGTTATCATGAAATAACGATGAGCGTTTTCTTGAGATAACGAGTTAAATATGTCGTTATCATGAAATAACAATGAGCGTTTTCTCGAGATAATGAGTTAAATATGTCGTTATCACGAAATAACGATGAGCGTTTTCTCGGGAGAACGAGTTAAATATGTCGTTATCATGAAATAACGATGAGCGTTTTCTTGAGATAACGAGTTAAATATGTCGTTATCATGAAATAACAATGAGCATTTTCTCGAGATAATGAGTTAAATATGTCGTTATCACGAAATAATGAGCATTTTCTTGTGATGAAGTGTTAAATATGTCAATATCATGAAATAACGATGAGCAATTTCTCGACATAACGAGTTAAATATGTTCTTTTCACAAAATAACGATTAGCATTTCTTCAAAATAACGAGTTAAAAATATTGCTACCACGAAACAACAATTAGCGTTCTGTCTCAATAACAAATTAAATATGTCATTATGACAAAATAAAAAGCGTTTTCTAGAGTTAACAAGTTATTTATGTCATTATCAAAACATGATGAGGGTTTTCTCGACATAACGAGTTAAATATGTCCTTATCACAAAATAACGATTAGCGTTTTTTTCGAGATAACGAGTTGCTATCATGAAATGTCTATGAGCGTTCTTTCTACATAACAAGTTAAATATGTCATTATAACAAAAATAACGAGAGTTTTCTTGAGATAACGAGTTAAATATGCCCTTATCACGAAATAATGATGTTTTCACGAGATAAAGACCTAATTTCCCAAGAGTTTTCTTGAGATAAGTGATGGTTTTCCTCTCGTGCATCCTTAGGTAAACATGGAGACGGCTTGTTCCCCTCTGGTCATCGATAAAGTTTATTAAATCAGCAAGATCACTTAAGTGTAAACACCTGCTGAGCTGCAGTCGGACCAGCCATCTCCTTAAATGATGAGATTTTTTTTATGCCAGTTGCCTGTAGCAGCCATCTTGAATTATTTGATTAGTTGTTGAGTCATCCAGTAATTATTTTTATTTTGTTATGTTCTGCTTTAAGTGGTGGGAACAAAAATGCAATAATTCCTGTTTTAAACCTGCAACAGGTGAGATTGAGAGCAACAACCACTGGGTCTACTGCAGCAAGTTCCTCCTGGCCGGTCTCTGTCACCTCCTGGTGAGCCTGGAGAAACTGGACGGCAAAAACTTCCTGACTTCGGCCGAGCACCAGCAGGTCCTCAGCCTCACCAGCCTGCTGGTCCGCAAATCCGAGATGGTCCTGAGCAGCCACCTGGCCAACTGGTGGGCCTCCCTCACGGAAACATCGATTTAGATGTTCTTTTGTTTCCTGCCAATCATTCCCTTTTCTTCCATCAGCCCGCCTCCTGTGAGGAGGAAGAAGAAGGTGTCGGTGGGTTTCCGGCTGCCCTGGTGGTGCGTGTTCATCGGTTGGTTCCTGCTGCTGTCCATTAGTGGAATATCGACGTACTTCACCCTGCTGTACGGCTTTCAGTACGGCAAAGAGAAGTCCATCAAGTGGGTCATATCCCTGGGCCTGTCGCTCTTTGAGAGCATCTTCATACTGCAGCCTCTCAAGGTGGAGAAAATCAGAAAAACTTCATCCTGAGATGCAGATTACAGAATAAATGTTGTGTTTTACTTTTTGTACCAGAGAAAGTGACAGTCCTGTGTAAGTAATCTGGCTTCCTGTTTATAAAACTCTGCACGGTCCAGCACCAACATACATATCTAAATGTTTCTGCCCTGATTAGGAGGTTCCACGTTCTAGATTAGTTAGTAAACTTGTGTATTTGATGTCTTACCGCGGCTGGCTTTTGTTCTCAGGTGATCGGTGTCGCTGTGATCTTTGCTCTGCTGCTGAAGCCTGTAGCTGTGGAGGACACCGAGGAAGCAGAGATCGCTCTGTTTGGTAAGAAAAATGTTCATCTAGAAGTTTCATTATCTTTTTGGCTGTTAGAAAAATACTCTAAGGTGTGTGTGTGTGTGTTCAACATAACAGGAGCACTTAAACATTGTTCTCATGACAGCAGTACCTTTATTTATTTACGATCACCTGCTAACACAGTGTTGTGATTTACAGGAATTAACTTCAATTAGGGGTTTTTTTTTTTTCAGTTTTTTAATCCTCTTTAACGTGGTTATAAGTCAAATTTCCATGTCCTTGCATTGGCAAAGAAAATGTTTTTTCATCAGCTGTGTTATAGTTCTTGCTCAGTACTTTTTKTTCAGATAAATAGCTCAGGGGGCCAACAGCTGGGGGTGGGGTGCGGGGGTGCTGACCAGTAATGGTAGGTTATGGTAGCATTATGTAACAGAACAAGTATTATTATAG